GGAAAACAGCTGAATTTGGCCTCAAAACCGACGTATAGCTCGGTGCCCACGACGTACGTGCCAGAAAGAGCTTTTCGAATTGCGGTCATGAGCGTGATTCTGACAACCGTTGCCAAAGTTATGGCCAAAATATTGAAACGTGTCCAAAAGCGGCTCCAATTAGGAAAGATCGATGATTACTTGCCATTCTTGCGCTGATCCACCAACTCATGGTATCTCAGCGCCATTAACGAACTATCACACAGCTCGGCCTCGTCTGGCTCGGATCCCCCTACATCACCAACTCATTTGGGATTCGTTGGACCTATTAATTTTGTCTACTACTTCATATAAAAGGCCATGCTCCAAATATTCTCTTAAGACAACTAAAACATAGATCTACGAGGCATGCATTTAAATTTATTTTAACATAAACTTGCCTTTAAGCACAACAAGAAGATGACAAGCCAAGAAAAAGAAAACTGATAAATGCAAAATCACACGCTACAAAATATATATAGTGCACACAAAAGCAGGTGACGAGTTTAAATTTTGATGGCAAAATTGTATCAATGCCAAGAAACCAAATTTCCTTGCCTAGTAATAGTCATTAATACAAATATCTAATTAAAATATCATTTCTGGCCAGATAAAATTTCTCTAACAATAGAAAATTTGCATTTCGGTAAAATGTTGAATCCAGAAACTCCTTTTTCAAATTGCCAAACCAGTCCTTTTGCACATGGGACAGATATTTTTCTGCATGAGCCACTTCCTGATGCAGTCATGATGAAATTTGTGTTCACAGTCAAGTTCCCCAATATTCTGGCCCTCAATGTATTCATCCTGTATTAAAAAAAAAAAAAAAAGAAAATTAAGTTTCAAATAATATACAAGCAAGATAATAAAATTCTAACCTTAAGATCTAAGGCTGCAGTACATTATGCAACCCTTACCAAACATATACCACAGAGGTCTTCCTCTTCTGGAGAAGATGTTAGGAAAGTAATGTGACGGTACCATTTCATGTGCCAGAAAATGTCCTCCTCCCTCAATCCATTGCTGACATTTCCAATTCTCTGTTCGAGGGAAATTAATCGTATTCATGTAGTAGAAACATAGTTAAAGAAGAATGTCTAATGATAACAAATGAAAACAAACTAAAAGCATTTTTCATTGTGTTTAAAAGTAAGTCAAACTTACTATTCCATAGCGTATTTTTTCATACGATTTTAATAGTTACATTTTTTTTAAATAAAAAACACTTAATTTTAAAAACTAGTTTACTTTCTAGAAAAGAGATTTCTAAGAACAACACAACATGCTCCAGTTCTGTAAGTGGACTAGTACCTCGTAAGACATTTCATCTACATCAAGCTCCATATCTTCGTCCATATCAGAATCTTCTTCCTCGTTATGATCTTCTTCAGGTGTTGAATTATCAACATTTACATGCACAACCTCATCTCTTGCTTCTTCCTCCTGAAAATTAAATTTGGGGTTTCACAAATCCCGGAAAGCTACATCATTATTGATATATCAGATTTGACAAAAACCAGACACCTCTGAAGGTTGTTCAGTTGCATCAAGATCCATATCTATATCCGCAAGCATATCATCTTCGTGGATATAATCCTCCTGTACCAATGAACAATCTTTTGTCCTATATGGAGATAGAAAGAATGTATGCAGCATATATAATATTATGAGGACGTAAACATGGAAAATGAAGACGATATGACTGATATTTATATTTTGAAAGTCTTATTAATGATTTTTCATAAAATATGTATCTTGATCCCTTGTTTTCTAAAGATATAGACACGCCTGAGACGGTATTTTGTACAGCATTTATTTTTCTATCAGTTGGCACAATGCTTTACAAGTGTTGATAGTTAGATATTTAACTAGATGAAGAAATTTAGGTTGTATCTGGCGCAAACTTCAATTTGAAAACATGCAAAAGGGAGAAGAATATTGTCTCGTTCTATTAGAGACTAAATAATCAAGCCAATGAACATGTAAATGAAGAGATGCAAAGGGATAGATATGCCAGCTATTCCAGCATTTTTGAATAAATAGCATGACCTTAACCCTGAATGAATTCTCTTCACCGCATCCAATTAACATGTGCTGGCGTAGCAAGGAGGACACATTCAGCAAGCTAAACACTGATTGCATATTTTTTTAGCAGTACAAGACATGATTGAACAAGTTTAATGTGCGATCCTATCTCCCTATCAAAATTTTAGAAGCCAATAAAGAGAGACTAAGCAAAATTTTGAGCAAGAACTATAAGCACAAATCAGTTTTAAGAAAATACATGAGAGAAAAGACTAACCTCAGGGGAAAATGGCGGACTAAAGACTTCAGAACTCACCCTATTTGTGGGACAATATATGCCAGCCCCCACTCTCGTTTCTATCACATCTCTCGAGGCTGCACACTCACTTGCATGCTGAGTTTCCTGGACGTTCCTGTTGTTACTGTTTTGACCTTCCATTAAGTTTTATTTTGATTCCTCAGAAGACCAAAAATTTGAACACTAAGTCCCTAAAAGGGTACAAAGACTTCTCTGCAAAATTTTGCACAAAATGGAATATTCATGTGAGGAAAAAAAATAAAAATAAAATATTTTATTAAAAAAACCCCAACCTTTAAAACTTATCCCCCCCCCCCCCCCCCCCCCCCCCCCCACCCCCCCAAAAAAAAAAAGGAAAAAAACCAGAAAAAAACATAGAAAGTGTAATAAAAAAGTTTTAAAATTATGCGAAAAACCAAGTGAAGACATCAGGAGCACGTGCTCATGCATGTGTATATTATTGTATATATACCATAATATACGTGCACATATAAATGGAAAATAAATGGGCATATTAAGATAACAATGTTTGAGAACAAAATTATGATTCTGAAAGTGAACCTATATATCCGAGAAAAATTTCCAGATTATAGAGAACTCTAGTAATGAATATTTGACGAGAGAACATAACAAATGAAAGCCAAATATACACAATGAAATCTCCCGCGCAAGTTTGAGGTAATCACATGAAATTGTTTCATAACTAAGGAAAAATAAACTCATAGAAGACAAATAAGACAAAAAAAAAAATCCTGTTGAAATGCATTTCATGCACAACAGTGTGGAAAGATAAAAATACATTCATACTTGACCAAAAAGAAAAGCGAGACATATGAGAGTCAGAAAAAGTGATGTGTTGAATGTCAATTACTTGTTCTAGATGCTTACATAATTTCAAAAAATTTCTTAACTGTTGAAATAGGTACGATCGAGAAAAGGAAATGAATACAAAATCGAAAATGATATTTCAAATTGATTACTAGGTTGAAACGTGGCATTGAGGACTATAAACTTGATTAAAATAGGTGGAAACGCAGCTGTGGGACAATAAAGATCAAAACGCTAGCTGATTGATTGTTCGTACAAGTTTATATTAATACTTGTACTAAGTCAGTTGCACGCACGAAGATGGGATTTGCATTTCTTGAATTAGGATACTAAGATACTTTTGAAGAAAAAAAAAACAACATTTCAACTTGACGTGATAAAAGATTTTTCCACGACGGTTTTCTTATTTTAACGAGGATGGCAGATTCAATTAACACAAGGACAAAATTAACATGTAAATTACAGTAACACTCTTCAATACAAGATTTTTGCTAAAAATGTAAACTATTTTTGGTTGCATAAAATGTACAATGACGTTCAGATCATGTACTATAATTTTGTCAACTTTTCAAATAAATGAATAAGAAAGAAGTCGATCGATGTGGTTTTCTGGTTGATTACATACACTATTTCCAAAAATTTCACCCATTCTTGAAATTCGTAGTTATAAATGCAGCATGCAGAACACACATCTGTAAGATGATTATGAGAATCTATTAAATTCAAATGTAAATTTAATGGAGTAAATATTAATGATATAATAATCTAAACCTTTCTGTCTATAACTTCTCTACTGAGAAAAACAAATGAATAAGAGTAAAATGGAATTCAACACCAAGCACTGAATCCTTGAAACGTGAAGACAACATGAATAAGTACGTACTTCTAGACAATTCACAAATGCAGTGTTGAAATTTCAGATTAAAATAATAAGGAAAAGGAAATGAAAAACCATGAAAAGTTCACAAACTCCACAGCACAAGAAAGTGAATAAAATGGATGTGTTTTCCTAAACAATATCAATTTTTCTTTGAACAGTACATTCAAATTAAAAAATGAATTGTTCACGGACATGTTATCCTAAACGATGTATTTTTTTCTTTAAAGAGTACATTCAAATGAATAAATAAATGCGTGTTTTATTTATTTTCGTTTAATAGAGTTCTGGACTGCTTCATGGGGTTACTTGTTGGTTCAACCTTGTTGGGATGCACTAATCTCTCTTCTGGGAATAGTCTACATTTATCAAAAAAGTCTTTTTCATCTCATAATGAGATGAGACCTCTATGGGAATTCTAGTGACAGCGAACATGAGACCTGATACTATCCCAAACTGAATTGCAAAGCTTTGTAGCCTATCCATTGTTATAATAATACAAATTCATCCCTCACCAATACCTCCCTCATCCCCATCCAAGGTTGCTTCCTCCAACATCAATACGTTCCCTTTTCCCACCCAACTGTCTGAACCCCTCTCCTCAATCTTCAGGTACTTTCCCTTTTTACATTGTATTTATTTACAAACTTGACTTCATAATATATCTAATTATACTCCTTTCTCAATTCGTATCTTTTTCGGTGTCCCACCCATCAATGTATGTTACTCAGTGCATATCTTAAGTTTGCAGTGCAAGTCTATTAGGATTTCTCTACCTACAAAAAAGAGATTGTTAGAACCTTCTTCATTCATGCTTTTACATGGAGAAGGAACAAGGAGAGAATGATGAGAAATCTTCATTTCATATGGCCTAATCTTGCAGGGGCTGGAGATTCATTTCCATGTCCAATTCGCACATTAAATTTCCTTCTCTTTTGATGAAGCGAAGCTACTATTTTTAAGATAATAGGAGTCGGTTTATTTGGTTGACATGAGTGAATTATCTATAAGTCTAAGAACTTCAATTCACAGTACTAAAATTATAGACATAAATTATTTAAAATTATTCCCGTTCTAGAGTATTAAATTGAGTCAGAAAACAAAAATAAATAACTTGATTGCAGTCTATACAGGTATGATATATCGTGTTGAAATTTATGAATTCTAGACTTAGTTCCTACCAAATTTTTATGAGAGCACCTTCTTTATATTTTTTAATTTACTCATCTCTAGTCTTACTGGTTTTAATTGAGCTTTTAAAGTGTCAAGTTTTAATAAGTAGCAAATACATTAGTTTCATGTCATGCAGTTATTTCAATCCATGATTGTTTACTACCTTGTTATAAATTATGGTTGTCTCCAGTTTTGTAAGCTATGTTATTGGAATTTTTTACTATATCTGTATAATAAGTGAATTTTCAACCTTTTCCGTTTAGCGCATAGGTCATGAAACTTTCAAGTTTATAGCAATTTCCCCTCACTGGTTTTCAAGCTGTTGGCATTGCAAAGAAAATCTTATGTAAAAAAATACAACACCAAGGGAATGGACTGAAAATGAAAGGAAAAGAGAAAAGGAAAGGAAAGGAAAAATATCAACTTCGTCCCTTCCTGATGCTCCCTCATCCATGGTTGTTCCCCGTACATCAATGACTCACAACCATCTTAGACCCTCTCCTCAAACTCCAGGTAAATTTTCCCTTGCCCTTCATGGACATCTCATTTTTACAATATTTTTTACTTAATGATTTAGTTCCATTAATTCTTGATGAAATTTCTGGATTTTTCTATTATATATTACAACTGAGAGTAAAATGGTGTGATGTTGTGCACAACGTGTATGGCTATTTTGTTGTCGTGTAGTTAATTATATTTATGATTGTCGCCGTTATTTCAATTAATGAATATCTAAGTAGTTATGATATTTGTTATTATTGTTTTAATATTTATTACATTTTACCGTACAATCATTTTTTTATTCAAGTAACTCACTTCATGTCATATCCAGTTATTCCACGATATCAATTAGTGTCCCTTTTGTAAACCGATCCCATCACCATACCACCAAGGTAAGTAAGTTTTTAATGCAAGTTTATTAGGATTTATCTCCCTACAAAGGAGAGATTGTCAAAAACTTCTTTGTGCACTACGTCTACATGGAGAGGGAAGAAGAAGGTTTAAAAAAAAACTCTTTTTTTGTCCAAATCATAGATGAGAAGAAGATTTCCTAATAAACAATTTTTAATTTTTAAATTTTTGTCTAGGAATAAATCCAAATCAATAAAAGCCATTTTCCCTAAGAAATCATGGTTTTAGACGAGGTGGTTTATTGTAGTATTAGGAAAAAGATTTGGAATTAAATCTCACCTCCGCACAAGTACAGGGGTTGTTCAACAGATAACAATTATTTTTCTTTAAAACAGACGAGATTCCAAAAATAGATGTTAAAAATTCATAGCAAAAATCTAAAGTCTTTTTCTTTTGAAAAATAAACATGCAACATTGCTACTTGAATTTCACATTTCTTTATATCAGCCTACTTGAGAAAATCACAGAAATTGAAGGCAGATTGCAGAAAAAAAATTAAAATAAGATTAGAATGGGTAAAATTAACAGCAAAACAAAATCAATTAGGTATGAGAACAGGGAATTGGTAAAGAGCAATTGACCTTAAAATGACAGGTTCACAACAAGAAAAAAGCAATGAAGGTTAAACAAAGGGAAATTCAGGCTTACTTCACTGAAAATTCTCTCAAGGATGGAGGCTTCTCCTTTCTCCCTTCCTCCCTTAATGGGAATCACCTCCGCAAAAAATAAACTGCAGAAAATGTATTAGGTTCAACTAGGTGCTGTGGGTAAGAGAAAGAGTTTATAGGGTCTGAACCCTGAATAATTAATGATTTACAGAATCTGATGTTGTATACAATAAATGCACCTTCCCTTGAGAAAACAATGTCCAGTTGGGATTCAATTGGATTCCCAATTAAAGCTTCATTGTTCAACCTGAAATTCGCTCTATTGATATCTAGGCGGATAATATGGTGTTTCTATGGCTTTTTCCAACCAGATTTTCACGACCAACAAAAAATAATCGGTACAAATGCTCTTTTACCGACTACTAAAAATATTTATGATGTGAGCACGGAGTCAAGTGCGTCACAATCAAGCCCGAGAAAGGATCCGTTGATTATCGAGGGAGGTCCGATGACAGGTCGAGAGCAAAACGGTTGAAAGAGGCAATGGGATTGCTTGCTCAAACTACAGTGGATGAAATGTCGAAATTAACAAGCCAAGGAACAAGTTTCATATTGGGTTCGAAAGAAGAAATCAAATGGATCAACTCGGTTCAAGCAACAAACGAGCAGGGTGGATGAAAACGTCCATAACTTTCAGCTCGGGTGTCTGATTTCCGTCCATGAGGGTTCACATCAGTTGGTAT